TAGCTGAAATGGCAAGAAGGATTAGAGATACAGTGGGGAAGATGTGGTACAGACTCTTTTGACACAACTTTCCTTACTCATTTGGCTAAAATAGAACACTTTACTCTGATGATGCCTTCTTATATAGATTTTTTTTTGGTAGAAACTTACTTTATTTTGCTTAGAGGAATGTTCATCTGATTAGTGTGTGCATCTAATCAAAAACCACCATTTAGAGAAGGTAGAGATAACTCAAAGGTGGGAATGGGACAGGAAAGAAAGTTAAAAAAAAAAAAAAGATGTCAAGTATCCCGTCTGTTAAGAAACAGTGGAAAAATAACAGTAAGGCTGGGACACAGACAGAGTGGAAGAGCTTATAACCTTCACTTTCAAAGTCCTTCAGAAATCTTCAAATGTCTCAGGGATATCGTTAAATACCGCTCTATGTGAGCATGTGGGATGTATAAAACATACAAGTAAGTACAGTTGACCCCAGAACAACATGGGTTTGAACCACATGGGTCCACTTACACGTGGATTTTCTTCCACCTCTGCCGCACCTGTGACAGCAAAACCAACCCTTTCTTTCCCTTCTCCTCAGCCTACTCAAAGGGAATATGACAATGATAAGAACAGTATCTATATTTTCCTTTCCTTATGATTCTGTTACATTTTCTTTTCTTTAGCTTAGTTTATTGTAGGAACATAGTATATAATGCATAAAACATAAAAATAAATGTTATTCAACTGTTTTTGTTACCAGCAAAACTTGTGATCAACAGTAGTCTATTAGAAACTAAGTCTTTAGGGAGTCAAGTTATATGTTATTTTTTTTTTTATGGCACAGAGGGTCTGCCCCGCTAACCCTTGCATTGTTCAAGGGTCAACAAGAGAAGGGGCTCTCGATTTAAGGAAATATTTATATAGGCACAGAGAGTAGAATAAATGTTGAGACAAATGACTGGCAATGAGGGGAAAGGTTAAGACATGAGCAGAAAAGCTCATTTGGATGGACTACAAAATATTTTTTCCTTTTACAATTTTGCGTGTGTTTGTATGTATTTGTGTGCATATGTGTGTGTTCATGTTGTATTTGCATATATATATATGATGTGTTAAAGTATGACTTTCATAAATTCCACTTGTGGCTTCTAGTAACACCTAGAAATTTCTGTGTTAACCACTTTATTCAGTTCTAGGGACACATAAAGCAGATGGTTTGAATGCTTCTTAAAATAAGTACCCTAAGATGACACTATATACATGTGCAGCCTGTATTTTGGTGTTTACTTGCTTGTTTTTTTATTTGTCTGTTTTTCTCTTCTTCCTTTCCCTCATTCTCTAACTTCTTGTCTTTCTTTTCTAGGTAATGTCACAGTAGCATTTTCTGTCAAAGATTTTCTGCACCCCATGTGCTAGAGCACTTATTTAAAACAAATATGGTGTTTAGTTAAATTACATGAAAAGTATCCTATTACAGTTTGTATTTTGTTGTAGGCCAGCAATTTTCAAACTTAAAAAATTTATTCCTATAAGACGTTTTTTAGTATGTAACCTTAAATGTATGCATATTTATTTATAAACCATTGTAATAACATGTTATCCATTATAAATATTAAACAGTGAACTTTGAAAAGAATGAAGTATAGTGATATGTATAAAATGTTAAACATCTATTAAATATAGATAAATCACTATGTTCTTTCTATACTTCCGTGGATTATCATGTGCACCTTCTGGAATGAGTGTACTCCATGAAAAAAAATGAATGTTAAATATGAATTTTCTTCACAATGCACATTGTTTTTCTTTTTATTTAAACAAGGTTGAACTTACAAATTGAAGCAATACAGAAGTGATTTTAGACTGGTAATATTACGTTTAGTTATTCAACTGTACAAAAAAGAGCACTCATTTGTGAAAGCTGTGATTAAAAAATTCTTTATTTAAACTGAATAGTGGACACTTGTATTATTCTACTACTTATCAAAAGAAGAGCAAAAAATAAAACTCTAAACTTAATATAACCACAGGAGCTTTTGTTTTCTCATCTTAGAAATGGAAGAATAAGAAGACAGTATTTTTTTAAAAAATTATACTTTAAGTTCTAGAGTACATGTGCAGATCTTGCAGCATTGTTACATAGGTATATGCACACCATGGTGGTTTGCTGCATCTGTCCCCCCTTCACCTACATTAGGCATTTCTCCTAATGTCATCCCTCTGTACCTTCCAGAATCTATGAAGTACTGAAACAAAAATTTGTTTTAGAAGTACAAAAATTTGTTTTAGTACTTCATAGATTCTGAAGGGTGCAGAGGGATGCACCCACCCTACACCCTGTTATCACTCCCCTCGCCCGCACTCCACACAGACCCCAGTGTGTGATGTTCCCCTCCCTGTGTCCATATGTTCTCATTGTTCAGCACTCACTTATGAGTGAGAACATGCAGTGTTTGGGTTTCTGTTCTTATGTCATTTTGCTGAGAATTATGGTTTCCAGCTTTATCCATGTCCCTAGAAAGGACATAAACTCATCCTTTTTTATGGCTGCATAGTATTCCACGATGTATATTTTCTTTACACCAGTCTATCCTTGATGGGCATTTGGGTTGGTTCCAAGTCTTTGCTATTGTAAACAGTGCTGCAATGTACATATGTGTGCATATATCTTTATAATAAAATGCTTTTTAATTCTTTGGGTATATACTCAGATAGCTGGGATTGCTGTATCAAATGATATTTCTATTTCTAGATCTGTGAGGAATTGCCACACTGTATTTCACAATGGTTGCACTAATTTACACTCCCACCAACAGTGTAAAAGCATTCCCATATCTCCACATCCTCTCCAGCATCTGCTGTCTCCAGATTTTTTAATGATCCCATTCTAATTGGCATGAGATGATATCTCAATGTAGTTTTGATTTGCATTTCTCTAATGACCAATGATGATGATCATTTTTTCATATGTTTGTTGGCTCATGAATGCCTTCTTTTGAAAAGTGTCTGTTCATATCCTTTGCTCACTTTTTGATGTTTTTTTTTTTTTAAATTTATTTTAGTACTTCATAGATTCTGGATATTAGCCCTTTGTCAGATGGGTAGATTGCAAACATTTTTTCCCATTCTGTTGGTTGTTGATTCACTCTAATGACTGTTTCTTTTGCTGTGCAGAGCTCTTAAGTTTAATTAGATCCCATTTGTCTATTTTGGCTTTTGTTGCCATTGCTTTTGGTGTTTTAGTCATGAAGTCCTTGCCTATGCCTATGTCCTGAATGGTTTTGCCTAGGTTTTCTTCTAGGGTTTTTATGGTGTTTGGTCTTATGTTTAAATCTTTAATCCATCTGAAGTTAATTTTTATATAAGGTGTAAGGAACGGGTCCAGTTTCAGCTTTCTGCACATGGCTAGCCAGTTTTCCCAACATGATTTATTAAACAGGGAATGCTTTCCCCATTGCTTGTTTTTGTGAGGTTTGTCAAAGACCAGATGGTTGTAGATGTATGGCACTGTTTCTGAGGCCTCTGTTCTGTTCCATTGGTCTATATCTCTGTTTTGGTACCAGTACCCTGCCGTTTTGATTACCGTAGCCTTATAGTATAGTTTGAGGGCAGGTAGAGTGATGCCTCCAGCTTTTTTCTTTTTGCTTAATATTGTCTTAGCTACACAGGCTCTCTTTTGGTTTCATATGAAGGTTAAGTTGGTTTTTTCCAGTTCTGTGAAGAAGGTCAGTGGTAGCTTGATGGAGATAGCATTGAATCTGTAAATTACTTTGGGCAGTGTGGCCATTTTCATGATATTGATTCTTCCTAACCATGAGCATGGAATGTTTTTTCATTTGTTTGTGTCCTCTTTTATTTCCTTGAGCAGTGGTTTGTAGTTCTCCTTGAAGAAGTCCTTCATGTCCTTTATTGGTTGTATTCCTAGGTATTTTTTTTTCTCTTTGTAGCAATTGTGAATGAGAGTTTGCTCATGATTTTGGCTCTCTGTTTGTCTGTTATTGGTGTATAGGAATGCTTGTGATTTTTGCGCCTTGATTTTATATTCTGAGACTTTGCTGGAGTTGCTTATCATCTTAAGGGGATTTTGGGCTGAGATAATGGGGGTCTTCTAAATATACAGTCATATGAAGACTACAGTATCTTTATGGCTCCTTTTGGTGTATCTATGCTATAATTTTGTGAGTTGAAATCATGACATTTAAAGTATTATACTTGCAAATTTTATATTGTAGCTTGTCATATTGTTTGTTGAAAGGCTCTATATGGGTGTCATACTGGGAAGAGAGAAAGATATGTGTCGTGAGCTTATTAGTATTTGAAACTCAAGAAGTGCCTAATAAGCTGCATGCAGGTGTGGAGTAGCCACAGGAGTGGTGCTCAGATTTACAGCTGGAGTACTATGTTTGTATTAGGTGAAAAGTGGAGCTATAGCTTGGGATTCTGGTAAACAGTGTGGGAAAAGAGTATACAAGGATGTCTGACCAGAGGAATGTAAGAAGAAGCAGATCAGATGATAAGACAGAAGTCAAGGAAGAGAGTTACTATATAGGAACTGGGAATTACACAAACATTGAGGGAAGAAAATTTCTAGCAAAATTTTGCGGTTGTGTGGACAAGGAGAAAAAAGGTCAATCCCGAGAAAAGAGCTAAGGCTCAAACACAGTATATCCACAAAAACTCAAAGACTTGCAGTTAGGTTGTGTATCCATCAGGAAACTTATGTGATTTAAGAATGTAGGAATTCCAACATGGAGGATGCCAGACTTCTAAAGTGGAAAATGATCTGTAGAAGCCCGTGGTTGAATGGGAATTAAATTGTAGCTTTGAGAACAGTATTTTGTTTTCATTTTAAATTTGGAGAAATTAAGGTAATGGAGTTTACTCAGAATAGGAGAGAGATGGGAAGTGTTTTTAGCTGAAGTGCTATATGTGCCAAATATTTTTAAGCTGTAGAACTAGTATCTAGTTGGAAGACATAGTAATAACAATTAATTCTGCTTGTTCCTATACTGCAGGCCAGGGAAATGCAAAGCGAGAACAGAACAGTGATAACAGAATTCATCCTTCTTGGTCTGACCCAGTCTCCAGATATTCAGCTCCTGGTCTTTGTGCTGATCTTAATTTTCTACTTTATCATTCTCCCTGGTAATTTCTTCATCATTTTTGCTATACGGTCAGACCCTGGGCTCACAGCCCCACTCTACTTCTTTCTGGGCAACTTGGCCTTCCTGGATGCTTCCTACTCCTTCATTGTGGCTCCCAGGATGCTGGTGGACTTCCTCTCTGAGAAGAAGGTCATCTCCTACAGAGGCTGCATCACTCAGCTCTTTTTCTTGCACTTGCTTGGAGGAGGGGAGGGACTGCTCCTTGTTGTGATGGCCTTTGACCGCTACATCGCCATCTGCCGGCCTTTGCACTATTCAACTGTCATGAACCCTAGAGCCTGTTATGCAATGTTATTGGCTCTGTGGCTTGGGGGTTTTGTCCACTCCATTATCCAGGTGGTCCTCATCCTCCGCTTGCCTTTTTGTGGCCCAAACCAGCTGGACAACTTCTTCTGTGATGTCCCACAGGTCATCAAGCTGGCCTGCACCGACACATTTGTGGTGGAGAATCTGATGGTCTTCAACAGTGGCCTGATGACACTCCTGTGCTTCCTGGGGCTTCTGGCCTCCTATGCAGTCATTCTTTGTCGTATACGAGGGTCTTCTGAGGGGAAAAACAAGGCCGTGTCCACGTGCACCACCCATATCATTGTTATGTTCCTCATGTTTGGACCTGGCATCTTCATCTACACGCGCCCCTTCAGGGCTTTCCCAGCTGATAAGGTGGTTTCTCTCTTCCACACGGTGATCTTTCCTTTGTTGAATCCTGTCATTTATACCCTTTGCAACCAGGAAGTGAAAACTTCCATGAAAAAGGTGTTTAATAAGCACATAGCTTGAGAAAACAGCAAAATAAAAGAATAAAAAAAGACTGTAGAATTTTATCTGAATTTGATTTTTTTATTGAAATTGATTTGTTTATTTCCAAGTACTGCAATCATTGAATGTGTCCTGTTTGTCAGGACCATTCTGGGAACAGAAGACAGAAATATGAGTGAGAGATAAGTTCTGTCTGCTATCCAAGAGGTAAAACCCAGTAAAAGAAACGTTGAAAACACAGATAAAGTTTGTCTGCTCTCCAAGAGATATAGCCTAGTAAAAATAGCCGTTAAAGTAGAAAATAAACAGCACAGTTTCAGGAGGAGATATTGCTCTGTAAAAACAAAAAAGAAAAGTTCAATGATAGGTTGTGACTCTGAATTATAACCAATTTGCATTTAATCATCAAAAAAGGTCTTCTTGAGGAGCTGACATTTTGGATCATATCTGGATAAACTAAACATGCAAACATTTGAGTCTTTAGTATTCTAGACCGAGGGCACAGGTAGCGCAGAAACTCAAAGACCGTAATGAACTTGGTATATTTGAGGGATGCAAGAAGGTTCAAGTTACCTGGAATGTAGTAATTTAATGTGAAAATGATTAGACTTAAAGTTGAAGATACTGGTAGTGTCTAAAACATATGGTCTACATAGTAATTATGAGTTTTAATTTTATTACAGTTGAAATAAGAAATCATTCTGTTACTTTAAGCAAAAGAATGATTTCTCTACTGAAGGTTCATAAATGACTCAGGGCTACAAACTCAAGATTCTGTGCAGATATCAAAGCATTGAAAAATATCATTGAGAGGAAATATTATACTTGTAAATATACTTTGAAAGGTATTAAACTACCAGTTTTTCTTCCATAAATAAGCAAAGAGTGGCAAAAGAAAGCTGGTTACTTTTATTGAAAAAGATCACAAAATCATTTTATTTTATTTTTTTTCTGGAGTGTCATTATTAATCCTAACAAATTTATACAACTTTTAGCTGTATGTTTGATCTTACTGTCAGTTGATTTCACTGTAAGTACAATGATGACTGTCCTTTGGTAGACCAATTAGGATTCTGTGTCAGAGAAGAAATCATTCTAGTTATATATATATTTTTACATATTCTGGCTACAGTCTGTTCACTTGATCTTAGCCAGAAGGCTGAGAAGCAATTACATATATAATCCAATATACAGTATATTCCGATGAATACAATATATCCTGATGTATGTCTTGCACACACTTTCTACCAGCCTAATAGCTTGACTTTCATTTTCTTAGTGGTGGGATGTTGAATGAACAAGTTTTAAATTTTGGTAAGTCCACTTTGTTCATTTCCTTTAAACAAACATCATTTAATATAGGGAATTAAGTGTTCACAAAATAGCCGGAAAGTCTGAAAGAGCAGACTACAGGCTGGACATTGACAGATGCCTCAGAGACTAACACAGGAGACCTATGTTATCAGGGAAGTTGTTCTTGCTACAATCTTAGCCATCTGTCGTCTGAAAAACACTGTCATGTACCTGGTATGTAGTTGGTGATCCAGAATCACTGTGGACCTATCAAATTGCCCCTAGTGCAACAGAAGCCTCTCCTTCCTCTCTGCCTGACTAGCTTACTACAAATTCAAATCTCTTATGAGTACATTAAATGGGCAGCATCCGAAATATCTGGAACCTCAAATGCAAGGGTTTTTTAAAATCTAAAAGTGATTTTTAAAATATTTTATTTTTGATAACCAAAGTTTATATTTATGAATATAAATTACGTACATGGTAAAAATATTCAGGCTATAGAAAAAGTGGACTGAATCTTCAAATAATCCTTTTCCATTCTTACTCTGTTTATTATGTTGCTTTCTGTTTTACTGAGAAAGGTAGCAGGTAGAATTCCTCAATCTCCTGTCACTACCACTACTTATAGATCTACATCTGTGACTAAGTTTCCTTTAACTTCTCCTGAGACTGGGTGACCTGATCCTGCATCTACAGAAGTAAACCCTTCTTCCTGTGTACCAGATTCCACCCCCTCCTCTCTACTAAAGGCAATTACTCTGGCAACTAACTCTTCTTTCTCTCATCTATAACATGAACTCTGTCCTCCCTATTGAACGTAACCTTTAGCAGGTAACCACATTTCTTCCCTCCTAAATAAAACCTTCTTGCCACCTTTTCCCATCTCCATGTGACTTCATGAGTTGGTGTGCCTTCACATGATTTTTAGGATTTAAAAAAATTTCTTTAAAATATGATGTTGGGATTTTCACAGGGATTGCATTGAATCTATACGTTGCTTCAGGTAGTGCGGATATTTTAACAATATTAATTGTTCTATTAACAAAGAAAGTCTTTCCATTTATTTGCGTCTGCTTTAATTTCTTTAATCAATGTTTCACTGTTTTAAGTGTACAAGTCTTTCACCTCCTTGGTTAAGTTTACTATTATTTTATTTTTGGTTCTATTGGAAATGATATTAATTTTTTAATTTCCCCTTTAGATCTTTTTTAGTGTATAGAAATGTAAAGGATTTGTTTCTTTTGTAGATCTTTATAAATATTTAATTGGCAAAAATCAGATATATTCAAGGTATATGAAATGATAATTTGACATATATATAAGTTGTATAATGATTACCACAATCGAATGAACACATTAATCACCATCCATGTTTTATATTAGTTACCCAGAATATGTTTACCTTGTGGCTGAAAGTTCATACCCTTTGATCAGTATATTTCCCTTTTCTCTCACTTCAAAACCCCTGACAACCACTGTTCTGCTCCCTCTTTCTATAAGCCTTTTTTTTTTTTCCCCAGATTCTACATGTAAATGAGATCATACAGTATCTCTATTTCTGTGTCTGGCTTATTTTACCTACTGTAATGTCCATTAGGTTCATCTGTGTTGCTGCAAATGGCAAAACTTTTTTCTGTGGCTGAATGACAGTCTATCACATGAATGTGCCACAACATATATACCTGTACGTCCATTGATGTACATTTGGGTTGTTTCCATATTTTAGCTATTATGAATAACGTTGCAGTGAACATCGAAGTGTAGTTATCTTTAGAGATATTGATTTCATTTCCTTTAGGTATATATCTAGAAGTGAGATTGCTGAAACATATAGAAGTTTTATCTTTTATTTTCAGAGGAACTCCTGTATTGTTTCCATAATGCCTGTACCAGTTTACATTCCCACCAGTAGTGTAAAACGGTTCCCCTTTCTCCACATCCTTACCAACACTTGTTATCATGTGTCTTCTCATAGTAGCCATTCCAGTAGGTAGGAGGTGACATCTCACTGTGGTTTTAATTTGCATTTTCCCAATGGTTAATGATGTTGAGCACCTTTTCATATACATATTGACTATTTCTATGTCTGTTTTGGGAATATGTCTGTTCAAATCTTTGCCAATTGTAAAAATTAAGTTGTTTGTTGTTTCGCTATTGACTTGTGTACTTTCTAATGTGTCATGAATATCAACTCCTTATCATACATACGGTTTACTGATATTTTCACCCATTTGGTAGATTGCGTTTTAATTTGGTCAATAGTTTCTTTTGTGGTGCAGTGGAAATTTTAGTTTGATATAGTCTCACTTGTTCATTTTTTGTTGCTTGTGCTTTTGTGGTCATATCCAAATTATGATTGCCAAGACTATTGTGAGGAGTTTTTTCCTTGTGTTTTCTTCTGGTAGTTTTACAGTTTCAGGTTTTAAATTTATATCTTTAATTCATTTCCTGTTGGTTTTGGTATATAAGACAAGACTTAAGTTTCTTTCTTTTGCTTGTGGATATTTAGTTTTTTCAACACCACTTATTAAATATACTTTTCTTTTTCCGCTGTGTATTATTGGCACCCTTGCCAAATCTTAGTTGTTCATATATGTGTGAATTTATTTTTGGGCTCCCGACTCTGTTCCATTGGTGTGTGTCATGTTTTATGGTATCATACTGTTTTAATTACTATGACTGTGTAATAGAGTTTGAAATAGTGAGTGGGTGTGATGCTTCCAGCTTTGTTCCTTTTTCTCAAAATTACCTTGACTATTTGGAGTCTTTTATGAATACATACAAATTTGGTTTTGTTTTTTTCTATTTCTGTGATGAATGCCATTGAAATTTCAATAGGGACTGCATTGAATCTGTAGGTAATCTAATTATTTTGGATATTTTAACAATATTTTAAAAATTCATGTACATAAATGTATTTACTTTTAATTCTCCTTTTCCATTTTTTTGTCAATATATTACAGTTTTTAGTGTACAGAGCTTTCACCTCCTTGGTTAAATTTAGTCCTAAGTACCTAAAAAAATTTTTTTGTAGTTATTATAAATGAGATTGTTTTCGTGACTTCCTTGTCAAATAATTCATTGTTAGTGTATAGAAATACCGCTAGTGTTTGTATGTTCATTTTTTAATCTGTAGCTTTACTCAAATCATTTATTCTAAAAGTTTTTTGATGACATCTTTAAGATTTTCTTTATATAAGGTCATATCATCTGCAGACAACTTACTTCTTCTTTTCCAATTTGGTTGCCTTTTATTTCTTACCTCCTTATTCTAGCTAGTACTTTCAGTAAAATATTGAATAGATGTGGTGAGAATGGGCATCCTTATTTTCTTTCTGAGCTTAGAAGGAAAGTTTCAGTTTTTCACCATTGAATATGATGTTAGCTGTGGGTTGTCATATGCGGCATTTATCACTGAGGTAGGTTCCTTCTAAGTGTAATTTGTTGGAAGTTTTTATCATGGAGGATATTGAATTTTGTCAGTGCCTTTTCTGCATCTATTAAGATGATCATATGGTTTTTGCCTTACATTCTGTCAATATGGTATATCACATTTATTGATTTGCATATGTTCAAATATCCTTGTGCTTAATAATAGTGAATGATCTTTTTAATGTGCTGTCAGATTTAGTATGTTAGTATTTTGGCATCTGTGTTCGTCAGAGATATCGGATTGAACTTTTCTTTTAGTATCCTTCTGTGGCTTAGGTATCAGAGTAATGCAGGCCTTAT